CTCTCTCTCTCTGTCTCTCTCTCTTCTCTCTGTTTCTCTATCTCTCTGTTTCTCTCTTCTCTCTGTCTCTCTCTCTTCTCTCTGTTTCTCTCTCTATCTCTCTGTCTCTCTCTCTTCTCTCTGTTTCTCTCTCTCTCTCTCTCTTCTCTCTGTTTATCTCTCTGTCTCTCTCTATTCTCTCTGATTCTCTATCTCTCTCTTCTCTCTCTGTTTCTCTCTCTCTGTCTCTCTCTTCTCTCTGTTTATCTCTGTCTCTCTCTCTCTGTCTCTCTCTATTCTCTCTGATTCTCTATCTCTCTCTTCTCTCTGTTTCTCTCTTCTCTGTCTCTCTCTTCTCTCTCTGTCTCTCTCTCTCTCTGTTTCTCTCTCTCTCTGTGTCTCTCTTCTCTCTGTTTCTCTCTCTCTCTGTGTCTCTCTTCTCTCTGTTTCTCTCTCTGTTTCTCTCTTCTTTCTGTCTCTCTCTGTTTCTCTCTTCTCTCTGTTTCTCTCTTCTCTCTGAACATCTGCATTGTGAATTTTGTCAAAGTTCCTTTTGTGTATATATATATATATTATATATATATATATATAGAGCTATAGCGCCACCAGCTGGTTAAAGTAGGACATGCATTCGTATTAACACCCAACTGCATAAATGGTCCCATGGTGACTCGGCCTCAACATATTTGACTAACTTGACTTTTCCGTTAGTTTGGATATGTTTTTATTTCTTCCGTCGATCACACTTCTTCACTACGACGGAGCATAAGGGTCAGATTAAAAAAAAATAAAAACATGTTGGTGCTACGAGAATAAAGTCGTAACATTTTGACATTAAAGTCATAATATTAGGAGAAAATCGGCTGCTCGGAAACTCTGACCGAGTGGAGAATGGAGAATTTGGAGCATTTTGTAAAGGAGAAAAATCCGTGTATCTTTCGTTCATTCGACTGAACAAGGAGTGAATCAGGACTAAATCAGGTCTGGAACCAAACCAGAAAGACCAGGATTGAGACCGGGACCAGACCAGGACTGAGGCCGGGACCAGACCAGGACTGAAAACGGTTTAGTCCTAGTTTAGTCCTGGTTTAAGTCACGGAAATGGGAAATGGCGTTTACGTGACTTTAAAATGCGACTGAACCAGGAATAAACCAGGACTGAACCAGGACTAAACCAGGACTGAACCAGGACTAAACGAGGACTAAACCGTTTTCAGTCCTGGTCCTGTTCCCGGTCTCAATCCTGGTCTCAGTTGTTGTCTGATCCCGGTCTCAGTCTTGGTCCCAGACTCAGTCCTTGTCTAAGTCCTGGTCTCAGTCCCGGTCTGGTCTCTCAGACCTCGTTTAGTCCTGGTTTAGTCCTGGTTTAGTCCTGGTTCAGTTCGGAGGCGCAAATAATGAAGAAAATTGTTGTTTGTTTCTTATTTTTGTTTTATATTGAAAAACCAGGTTCTTCTTCTGCCGCATTTTTCACTTTGACTTTGAGTTTATTACGACTTCATTCTCGTAACATTATAACTTTATTCTCATAATATTACGACTTTATTTTAACTTCGACTTTATTCTCGTTATATTACGACTTTATTCCTGTAAAATTATGACTTTAACGTCGAAATGTTACGACTTTATTCTCGTAGCGCCAGCATGTTTTTTTTTTTTTTTTTTTTTTGACGCTTATTCTCCGTCGTACTTCACGTCTTTATTTCGTTGTTTCATTTCCCGCGTGTTTACCTGAATCATAATGTATGCAGCGCCTCTCTTTGTGCTCTCCTCTTCAGACCCCGCGCTCCTCTCCTCCTTCGCTTCCCTCTGTTTCAATCTGTTGTATCTGTGGAAAAAAAAAAAACACACAAAAAAAAACCACATTTGCAATTTAAACTAAAGCTTTTAACAGGGCCCTGTGACCAGACCGGCTTTTATCTCGTTTGAGTCGTCGTTTCTCTCTGCAGCCTCGTCCAAACCCAAACCGCACAGACTCCGAGCGGCTGAGCACGGACGACATTTCACTGTGAGTATTTTTATGTTTTTATGTTTTACGGACCTCAAATCTGATGTTTTAAGCATCTGAAGTAACCACAAATGTACGACGGAGAATAAGGGTCAGACAGAAAAAAAAAAGATGCTGGCGCTACGAGAATAAAGTCGTAACATTTCAACATTAAAGTCGTAATATTGTGAGAATAAAGTCGAAGCCAGAAAAAGTCATAATTTAACGAGAATAAAGTTGTAATAAAATCAAAGTCAAAGTGAAAAATGCGGCAGAAGAAGAAACTTGTTTTTCAATATAAAACTAAAAATAAGAAAACGAACAACAATTTTCTTCATTATTTGCGCCTCCGGACTGAACCAGGACTAAACCAGGACTAAACCAGGACTAAACCAGGACTAAACCAGGACTAAACCAGGACTAAACCAGGACTAAACCAGGACTAAACCAGGACTAAACGAAGTCCGAGACCAGACCGGGACTGAACCAGGACTGAACCAGGACTAAACCAGGACTAAACTAGGACTAAACCAGGACTGAACCAGGACTAAACCAGGACTAAACCAGGACTAAACCAGGACTAAACCAGGACTAAACGAAGTCCGAGACCAGACCGGGACTGAACCAGGACTGAACCAGACTAAACCAGGAACTAAACAGGACTAAACCAGGACTAAACCAGGACTAAACCAGGACTAAACCAGGACTAAACCAGGACTAAACGAAGTCCGAGACCAGACCGGGACTGAGACCAGGACTGAACCAGGACTAAACCAGGACTAAACCAGGACTAAACGAAGTCCGAGACCAGACCGGGACTGAGACCAGGACTTAGACAAGGACTGAGTCTGGGACCAAGACTGAGACCGGGATCAGACAACAACTGAGACCAGGATTGAGACCGGGAACAGGACCAGGACTGAAAACGGTTTAGTCCTGGTTCAGTCCTGATTCAGTCCTGGTTTAGTCCTGGTTCAGTCCTGGTTCAGTCCTGGTTCAGTCCTGGTTTAGTCCTGGTTCAGTCCTGGTTTAGTCCTGGTTCAGTCCTGGTTCAGTCCTGGTTCAGTCCTGGTTTAGTCCTGGTTCAGTCCTGGTTCAGTTCTGGTTCAGTCCTGGTTCAGTTCTGGTTCAGTCCTGGTTCAGTCCTGGTTCAGTCCTGGTTCAGTCCTGGTTCAGTCGCATTTTAAAGTCACGTAAACGCCATTTCCCATTTCCGTGACTTAAACCAGGACTAAACTAGGACTAAACCGTTTTCAGTCCTGGTCTGGTCCCGGTCTCAATCCTGGTCTTTCTGGTTTGGTTCCAGACTTGATTTAGTCCTGATTCAGTCCTTGTTCAGTCGAATGAACGAAAGATACACGGATTTTTCTCCTTTACAAAATGCTCCAAATTCTCCATTCTCCACTCGGTCAGAGTTTCTGAGCAGCCGATTTTCTCCTAATATTATGACTTTATTTTGACTACGACTTTATTCTCATAAAATTAACTACTTTATTCTCATAAAATTACTGACTTTATTCTCATAAAATTACTACTTTATTCTCGTAAAATTATGACTTTATTCTCCTAAAATTACGACTTTTTTTTGACTACGACTTTATTCTCATAATATTAGGACTTTAATGTCAAAATGTTACGACTTTTTTCTCGTAGTGCCAGCATTTTTTATTTTATTTAATTTTTTAATCTGACCCTTAAACTCCGTCGTACAAATGTGTAAAAGGATGTACGTTTGTATTTATGTGTGAAGAGACGGAGAGAGAACGAACGAACAGGAGGAGAGAGAGAGAAGAGGAGGAGGAGGAGGTAGATTTCAGATTCAGTTATGCTGTTGTTACGTAAAGCTGCACTACGTCACTTTCTGGTGGAAAGTATTATCTCCGCTGCTCGTCTCCATGGAGATGTTGCTGTGCTGGGGATGTCCCGCGGTGCGGCATTAAACGTGTGCCGTGTGCAGTCGCTTTAATCAAGACAAGAATAAAACGGCTTGTGCTGTGTGTTATCGTTTTATCTCCTTCATCTCGATAGAAACGGAACAAGAAAAGTTACACAGTGCAGCTTTAAAAATTCAAATGCGTTTAAACATATACTTGAAGTCCGTGGTTTTTATTTCTGTTACTCGGTTTATTCACACAAAGAGAATCTCAAAACCCACATGTAGGATGAAGTATGTGTGGAAGAATGGACGTCACTTTTGTTTCGACGTCTCTTCTACATCTGGGTTTGTTTGAGGAGATTCTCTCTCTCTTTCTCTCTCTCTCTCTCTCTCTCTCTCTCTCTCTCTCTCTCTCTCTCTCTCTCTCTCTCTCTCTCTCTCTCTCTCTCTCTCTCTCTCTCTCTCTCTCTCTCTCTCTCTCTCTCTCTCTCTCTCTCTCTCTCTCTCTCTCTCTCTCTCTCTCTCTCTCTCTCTCTCTCTCTCTCTCTCTCTCTCTCTCTCTCTCTCTCTCTCTCTCTCTCTCTCTGTCTCTCTCTCTCTCTCTCTCTCCTCTGTCTCTCTCTCTCTCTCCTCTCTCTCTCTCTCTCTCTCTCTCTCTCTCTCTCTCTCTCTCTCTCTCTCTCTCTCTCTCTCTCTCTCTCTCTCTCTCTCTCTCTCTGCTCTCTCTCTCTCTCTCTCTCTCTCTCTCTCTCTCTCTCTCTCTCTCTCTCTCTCTCTCTCTCTCTCTCTCTCTCTCTCTCTCTCTCTCTCTCTCTCTCCTCCTCCTGTTCTCTCTCTCTCTCTCTCTCTCTCTCTCTCTCTCTCCTCCTCCTGTTCTCTCTCTCTCTCTCTCTCTCTCTCTCTCCTCCTGTTCTCTCTCTCCTCTCTCTCTCCTCTCTCTCTCTCTCTCTCTCCTCCTGTTCTCTCTCTCTCTCTCTCTCTCTCTCCTCCTGCCTCTCTCTCTCTCTCTCTCTCTCTCCTCCTGTTCTCTCTCTCTCTCTCTCTCCTCCTGTTCTCTCTCTCTCTCTCTCTCTCTCTCTCCTCCTGTCTCTCTCTCTCTCTCCTCCTCCTCGTGTTCTCTCTCTCTTCTTGGCTCGGAATGTTTCATGGAATAGATTTGTATTAATTTATTTTTTTTATTCAAGCTGTTTTCATGGCTTAAAAATACAAAAAAAACATGCATTCTTACCGTGAGTGGGGTCGCCTCTCCGCAACTTAATGCCACACTGCGGAAATTTCTCTTCGGAGACAAGCAGGAGAGTCCCAGAGTGCGGCTTTAACGTGCCCCCGGTGCTGTTGCCGTGCGCAGAATGGCAGGTTTGGCGAACACTTCCCAGAGGCTCTCGGTGAAAACCTGGACGGAGGAGGAGAGCGAGAGAGCGGACAGCGCCCTCAGCAGGTGACGCCAGATTTTACACTTTTTTAAAATTTGTATTTATTTAATTTTTTTTGTACATCTCAGTTGACTTTATACCAAATCTTTTTTTTTTTTTTTTAAGATCTTTTTTATCTTTCTGTTCTTCAAAGTTGTGTTTTGGAAGATTCTCGAGAGCTCAGGAAATCTCTGTTTTCACCTACCCCCTATCTCCACCCACAAACTTTCAGATCGCACGTACTGTACTTGCTCTCTCTCTCTCTCTCTCTCTCTCTCTCTCTCTCTCCTCCTTTCTCTCTTTTTTCTTTCCCGTTCTCTCTCTTTTTCTCTCTCCTCTCTTCCTTCTTCTGTTCTTGAAACTCTCTCTTCCTCTTGCTCTCCCTTTCTCTCTCTCCTCTCTTCCTCTCTGTCCATCTTTCTCTCATTTTCTCTCTCCTCTTTCTTCTCGTCTCTTCTCTCTCTTCTCTCTTCCTCCAGCTGTTCTTGAAACCCCCCCTTTCTCTTTTCTTTCTCGTTCTCTCTTCTCTCTCTCTCTTCTCTCTCTCTCTCTCTTCCTTCTTCTGTTCTTTGAAACTCTCTCTCCTTCTATCACTCTTTTTTCTTTCTCCCTTTCTCTCTCTCTTCTTCCCTCTCTCCTTCTTTCTCTGTTTTACTCTCCTCTCTCCCTCTTTCTCTCTCTCTCTTTCTCTCTCTCTCCTCTCTTCCTTCTTCTGTTCTTGAAACTCTCTCTCCCTCTATCTCTCTTTTTCTGTCTCGCTTTCTCTCTCTTCCTCCCGCTTCCTCCTCTCTTCCTCTCTCCCTCTTTCTCTCTTTTACACTCCTCTCTCTCTCTCTTCCTCCACTCTCCCTTCTCCTGTTTTTGAAACTCTCTCCCTCAGTCTTTTTCTTTCTCCCGTTTTCTCTCTTCATTTCTCTCCCTCTCTCTTTCTCTCGCTCTCCTCTCTTCCTCTGTCCATCTTTCTCTCCTTTTCTCTCTCCCTCTTTCTCGTCTTTTCTCTCTCTCCTCTCTTCCTCCACCTGTTCTTGAGACTACCTCTATCTCTCTTTTTCTGTCTCCCTTCCTCTCTCCCCCTCTTCATCTCTCTCTCTCCTCTCTCCCTCTTTCTCCTCTTTTCTCTCCTCCTTTCTCTCTTCCGTTCTCTCTCTCCTCTCTTTTTCTCTCTCCCTCTCCCTTTCCATTTCTCTCTCCCTTTCTCTCTCTCTCTCCCTCCACTCTTCCTTCTCCTGTTCTTGAAACTCTCTCTCTCCCTCAGTCTCTCTTTATCTTTCTCTCCTTTTCTCTCTTCATTTATCTCCCTTTCTCTCTCTCTCCTCTCTTCCTTCTTCTGTTCTTGAAACTCTCTCTCCCTCTATCTCTCTTTTTCTATCTTGCTTTCTTTCTCTCTCTCCTTCTATCGCTCTTTTTCTGTCTCCCTTTCTCTCTCTTCCTTTCTCTTTTTCTCTCTCCTCTCTCCCTCTTTCAAATTCCTGTTTTCACCCACCCCCTGTCTCCACCCACACACTCTGACCTCATGTTATTATTATTATTATTATTATGTTGTAGTTGCGTGTATTTCCTGCAGGGGGCAGTCCGTGTGCGATGACACGTCCTCAGAACTACAGAGAATGGCCGCCATCGACAGAAGAGACATCAACTCCCAGAATTCCCTGCGCGGTCGAGGAGCTCTGTCCAGGTACGAGGGTTTGGCGGCGCCTGGCCAAGTAAACATTTAGGTTTTTTTAATTTCTTGATTAGGCTGGTCCAAAAACTTTTTTTTAAGATTCTCTAGATTAATCTCCATCAGGACTCAGACGTTATGTTCAGTTATCAGATAAATAATATACATATATAACCAGTGTTGGGGAGTAACAGATTACATGTACTGGAGTTATGTAATCAGAGTACAAATGATGAGTAACTGTATTCAGTTACAGTTACTGTTTCAGTGAGTGGTAATTGGATTACAGTTACTTTTTTGAAATAAATGTGAAAAGTCAAGATTTTCAAACAATGATGATGAATGGTTAGAAAAGTTAATAAAATTAAAGTTTTGGACATTTGATTTGAGTTCAGTCAAATACTACAAATCAACACAATCTGATCCTGCACATCCTGGATCTGATTCTTTGCTCTTAGTTCATTTCATAATGTTTTATATTATATTATATAAGTATCGGATCAGGACTCAGTATCAGCAGATACTCAAAATCAAAGAACTCAAACTCGGGGGCAAAAAACATGTGATCGGGACATCCCTAGTTCCATATCTGACCAAAAGTATTTGGGTCAAAATTGTATGCAAATTAATTAATATTTAGAGGTTTCTCAAGACAAAATTGCCCTGTAGCGCCTGTACTATAACATAGCAAACCAAATAAATAAGGCGTTTTCGAATAATTTGTCATTTTATTCTGCAAACACAAACTGAAATTTGCACAAAAGTTACTTAAAAAGTCGATAAAGTCCATAAAAGTTGCTTAGAAAGTCTGTAAAAGTGCAAATGATGTAATATACACGTTCCAAAAATCACTTTCACTTTCACTTTCAAATCACAAAATATATACACCTGACCACCGTATCAAATGTTTGTCATCTGTGTTTATACTTTATACATCTGTGTGTGTTTTTGTCAGAATCGTGGGCATGGTTCTGACTCTGCGGGACTGGGCTCACAAAGGTTTACACGAGGAGGCGGAGCGACCGGACTCCTTCCTGGAACGCTTCAGGGGCCCCGCCCACCCCGACCTGCAGGCTCCGCCCAGTCGAGTCAGCTACAGCAACACAGGCTCAGACCCCGAGGAGAGGAGGCAGAGGAGGAGAAAGTGAGGACCCTCTGACCCTCTCCTCTGACCCTCTGACCCTCTCCTCTGACCCTCTGACCCTCTGACCTCTGACCCTCTGACCCTCTGACCCTCTCCTCTGACCCTCTGACCCTCTCCTCTGACCCTCTCCTCTGACCCTCTCCTCTGACCCTCTCCTCTGACCCTCTGACCTCTCCTCTGACTCCTCTGACTGACTCCTCTGACCTCTCTGACCCTCTGACCCTCTCCTCTGACCTCTGACCCTCTCCTCTGACCCTCTCCTCTGACCCTCTGACCCTCTCCTCTGACCCTCTGACCTCTCTCCTCTGACCCTCTTGTCTGCTCCTCTGACCCTATGCTCCTCTGACCTGCTCCTCTCCATCTATTTCTCCATCTGACCTTCTCCTCTGACCCTCTCCTTTGACCCTCTTGTCTGACCCTTTGATCCTCTGACCTTCTCATCTTCTGACCCTCTCCTCTGCATCTTCTTCTCCATCTGACCCTCTCCTCTGCTCCTCTGACCCTCTCCTCTTCTGACCCTCTACTTTGACCCTCTCCTCTGACCCTCTTGTCTGACCCTCTCCTCTGCATCTTCTTCTCCATCTGACCTTCTCCTCTGCTCCTTTGACCCTCTCCTCTGACCCTATGTTCCTCTGACCCTCTCCTCTACTCCTCTGACCCTCTTCTGACCCTCTCCTCTGACCCTATGTTCCCTGACCCTCTTGTCTGACCCTTTGACCCTCTCCTCTGACTTTCTGACCCTCTCCTCTGACCCTCTCCTCTGACCCTCTGTCCTTCTTCTCTGCATCTTATTCTCCATCTGACCCTCTCCTCTGACCCTCTTGTTTGACCTTCTGACCCTCTCCTCTGATCCTCTGACCCTCTCCTCTGCCCCTATGCTCCTCTGACCCTCTTGTCTGACCCTCTCCTCTGACCTTCTTCTCTCCTCTTCTGACCCTCTCCTCTGCTCTTCTGACCCTCTTGTCTGCTCCTCTGACCCTCTTCTTTGACCCTCTTGTCTGACCCTCTGATCCTTTCCTCTGCTCCTCTGACCTTCTCATCTTCTGACCCTGTCCTCTGCATCTTCTTCTCCATCTGACCCTCTCCTCTTCTGACCCTGTACTTTGACCCTCTTATCTGACCCTCTGATCCTCTCCTCTGCTCCTTTCCTCTGCTCCTCTGACCCTCTCCTCTGCATCTTCTTCTCCATCTGACCTTCTCCTCTGTTCCTCTGACCCTCTTGTCTGACCCTTTGACCCTCTCCACTGACTTTCTGACCCTCTCCTCTGACTCTCTTGTCTGCACCTCTGCCCCTCTGACCTTCTTCTCTCCTCTTCTGACCCTCTCTCTCTCCTCTGACCCTCTCCTCTGCTCTTCTGACCCTCTCCTCTGCTCCTCTGACCCTCTCCTCTGCTCCTCTGACCCTCTCCTCTGCTCTTCTGACCCTCTCCTCTGCTCCTCTGACCCTCTCCTCTGCTCTTCTGACCCTCTCCTCTGCTCTTCTGACCCTCTCCTCTGCGTCCTTACTCCAATAACATGTTTTGATTTTTGTTTTAGGAAAAGAAAGTGCCGTATAATTGTCCTGAGTCCATCAGATGACCTGTATTACCACTGGCTCTGTGTGATCGGGACAGCTGTGTTTTACAACTTCACTTTACTGGTGGTCAGGTACATTCTTTTTTTTTTTTTTTTATAAATCACACTATGTTCTGTTTAAATAAATACTCTAAATCTCTTCCCAGAGCCTGTTTAGTCCTGTTATTCCTTTTTGTTCCTTGTATATTCCCAGAGCGTGTTTTGAGGAGCTGCAGGCGGAGCACGTCCTGGTCTGGTTGGTGTTGGATTACGTCTGTGATGGAATTTACATCCTGGACATCGCGGTGCGCCTCCACACCGGTGAGGATCTCTGGCATTAATGTATAAGACAAATCTAAAAATCTGAGCCCATTTCAAAAACATATAGACCTATTAAACATGGGGATGCACAGTACAACACTGGTATCGAATATCGGCGCAACTACTGACAAATTTGGTGGATTGGATTTTGGCTTTCACGATATCGATCAACCAATATGTCATTTTGGTATAAAGTGGTTTAATAAAACAATTCACTGGCCAACGCCTCATAATATTTGTATTTTTACAAAGCTGACCGGAAAAATGTGTCTTGTCCTCTCCGGGTGTGGAGGAGTTCAAGTATCTCAGGGTCTTGTTCTCGAGTGAGGGGAGGATGGAGCGTGAGATTGACAGGTGGACAGGTGCAGCGTCGACAGTGATGTGGTCACTGTATTGGACCGTTGTGGTGAAGAAGAAGCTATGCTGAAAGGCGAAGCTCTCGATTTACCAGTCAGTCTACGGTCCTTCCCTCACCTCTGGTCATGAGCTCTGGGTAATGACCGAAAGAACAAGATCGCAGATACAAGCGGCCAAAATGAGTTTCCTCTGCAGAGACAGGGTGAGGAGGTCAGTCACATGGGAGGGGCTCGGAGTAGAGCCGCTGCTCCTCCACGTCGAGAGGCGTCTGTTCTGATGTCTCCTGGGTGTCTCTGGGCACGTCTCACCAGGAGGAGAAGACCCAGGACACGCTGGAGGGACTTTGTCTCTGGGCTGGCCTGGGAACGACTCGGGGTTTCGCTGGAGGAGCTGGAGGAAGTGTCTGGGGTGAAGGAAGTCTGGGAGTCCCTGCTTAAACTGCTGCCCTGGCGACCCGACCCCGGATACGAGGAAGAAAATGGATGGATGTTCTATAGTTACAATGCACACCAAAGTTCTTGCAGAGGTGCAAATGGAAGGAACAGCAAAATAAACGTGAAAAAATGCAGAGCACACACTCAGATAGTCCATGGACAAAAGCTGAAGCAAAAGCTTCTTCAGACATTTTTCTTGCTTTGGACCACAGTACACTACTACTACTGTACAGTCGTCCAAGGCAAGAAAAATATCTGATGAGGGCTTTTTTTTTTTTTTTTTTTTTTCCCCAGAGCGTAATTTAAAAATAAAAAAATCTTTTGGACATTGACTATCTGAGTGTGCTCTGCATTTTTTCACTTTTGCAAAACACATTTGGATCATTTTTTTTTTACCTTATACTGTTTGTGTTTAAAGGAAATAAAGTCTGTTTTCAGTCTCTGCTGTAGTATCATCTGATGTCGAGTATCAGCAGATACTTGGAGCCCCAGTATCGATATTAATATTGGAACAGAAAAACATTCTTTCCTAATAAAATTTATATGTCAAACTCTTTTAAAAACAGACAAATTATGACCTCATTAAATTGTAGACGTGAACACAACCTTTGTGATTCCTCCCATCATCTAACCCAACCCTACTTCACACGTGTTTATTTCTGTAGGTTTCCTGGACCAGGGTCTGTTGGTGCGTGACTTGTCTCGCCTCAGACAGACTTACGTCCGAACAGTGCAGTGCTGGTTGGACCTGGGCTCTGTGCTGCCCACAGACCTGCTGTACCTGTGGGCGGGGCCGGACTACACCCCTCTGCTCAGGTTCAACCGCCTGCTGCGTTTGACCCGCCTCTCCGAGCTCTTCGAACGCACAGAGACCCGGACCGGGTACCCCAACGCCTTCAGGATCTGCAAACTGGTGCTCTACATCCTGGTCATCATCCACTGGAACGCGTGTGGGTACGACATCCCGCTCATCTATAAATCTGATCTAATCAAAAAGAACACGTTTATAAATGTCAAATATGCAAATATGGATATCTAAAAAAATAGTGCTGTACTGCGGTAAATAATGTGCTCTAACATCAATTATCATCTGAGTCAACATTATTTACAAAGTTTTTCAGTTACCCTAAAGCAACAACTAGCATGCTAATGTGCACTTCCTGATATTTTTGGACAATAAAATGTTAAAAAGAGGATGCGGCTGTCTTACTTTGACCTCAAGCACTTGTTTTCCAAATAAATATTTTTTTACTGGACAATAAAAAAATAAAAAAATAAGAAAATCAGTAATGAATAGAGGAAGTCTGAAACGTAGAGTGTGTTACAATGATGCATTCTAATTAGTGACGGGCGAATGGAGCCTCGTGAAGCACCGACACCTCAGTCGCAATATTGTCTCAAATGGTTGGACGTGTCTGAGGCCTCAGAGAAACACTGACCTCTAGTGGACAAATTTAACCATTGGCACGCAGGTGTCTCAGCATCGATGAAATATTGTTAGTGTAAGACAACACTTGTGTGCAGAGCGACACCGAACCAACAACAACAAGAATAATGATGATTTAAAATAATATGTAAAGAGGAACATAAATAACAGCTGTAAATAAGAAAATAGATGTTACCTTGTTGGGTGGAATTAGATCAAAGTGATCCCAAAACATGGATCACTTTTTTCCACTTGTAGATGCCATCGAAAATGAAACAAACGTCGTCAAAAGTCGCCAAAATCACCAGGAACGTCACACAACACTCCTCACTACTCAGCGTTTTTAAGAAATATTGGTGCATCTTTTATACTGTAGCAGTTTAGCGCTTGTCAAACCACAGAAGTGCGCCGAACACTCTGAAGCATCTGAACCAATCACAGAGCGGAACATTCTCCGAGCCAATGAAACGCTTCGATACACTGAAGCGACTGACACGCAGAGAGAAGCAGTAGGGGGAGGGACCCACACTTCCACACTTCGGTCACGTGAGCGGCTGCTGCGAGACGAGCTCCGAGGCAGTGCTCCGGAGCGATTTGTTTCAGAAAGAACGAGACGGTGCTCCGGAGCTCCGCCTCATTTGCCCACCACTAATTCTAATCAGGAAATGCACTTTAGCATGCTAGTTGTTGTCCCCTTTATGGTCTCTGGAAAACTCTGCTTTGAAAATTGTGAAAAGTGTTTCCTGTATTTTTCAGACTATAAGTCGCTCCAAAGTGTAAATTCGCATCAGCCAAAGAATGCGAATGAAGAAGAAAAAAAACATATATAAGTCGCATTTTTTAATTTTATAAAATCAGAGACCAGGAACCAACATTTCCTGTTGAAAGTCAAGTTCTAGTAATAAGAATAGAAGAGAGAACAACAGACTGTTAACGTCACATATGAACAGTTCTTCAGATAAACTATGACATAAACAACAGAACAGAACAAGTTTAACAAACTCTCCATCTCACTCCAAATCACTAAATCCATTCAGTTCTTCATCCTCGGTGTCACTTCTGAGCAACTCCACTCTGTCGTCAGACTCAGCATCAGTTCCAGTTAGAATTATTCGGGTCTTTCTGAATCCCGACAGGATGGTTTCGGTGTCACTGAAGTCCAGGTTTTGTCCGTCCAGTGACTTCAGGAAAGTTTCATGGATGCATCCTCCCGCTGTCACAAGTTTCTCTCTCACTCCAAACTTTCTTTCTTTCTGCTCGATTACCGTTTCGGGCTGAATATTTCGCTACTTGCAGCAGGACAGAGGCTCTTTCTGCAGGAGACATGCGCAGTAGAGTGAAGTGACAGTGGTGCAGGAGGAACAGGAGCGGCAGATACTCACACACGAGACTTCAGCGCCCCTCTTGTGGCCGTCAGTGTGAAAATTTAAATATATGAGTCGCAGGAAACATCCAAACCATGAAAAAAAGTGTGACTTATAATCCAAAAAATACGGTAGAAACTTGTGATGAATAATTGAAGTAAGGGTTAGATGTAAGTGAGGGAAAAGTTTGGATTAAGTTTTTAAAGGTGCAGCACCATTAACGGTCTCGCAATGTGGAAATTTCCGTGTTGCAGTGCAAAGTACTGTACGCCCCGCTCTCTCCTCAGGTACTACAGTTTCTCCTTGGTCCTGGGTTTGGGCTCAGACTCTTGGGTTTATCCAAACGCCTCTGACCCCGAGTTCACGTCTCTGACCCGGAAGTACATCTACTGCCTGTACTGGTCCACGCTGACGCTCACCACCATCGGGGAAACACCGCCCCCTGTCAGGGACGAGGAGTACCTGTTCCTCATATTCGACTTTCTGGTGGGTCATGTATTTGATTTGTTGCGTTACAGAATTTCTCAAAGGCCCGTTCAGACCGGTGACAGGTCAGTGCGGACGCGGGTCTAGGCCGTCCTGCGTTTTGGCGGCGCGTCTTCAGGCGTCAGTGCGGTGCGAATCCAGAAGCTGAAAATGCTGTAGGACGCGCCGCACCGACCAATCAGGGACGACGATATTACCTAGAAGAAGAAGAAGAAGAAGAAGAAGAAAAAGAAAAAGAAAGGACTAAACCAGGACTAAACCAGGTCTGAATCAGGACTAAACCAGGACTAAACAAGGGCTAAACCAGGACTGAACTGGGACTGGACCAGGTCTAATCTAGGTCTAAACCAGGACTGAACCAGAACTGAACCAGGTCTAATCTAGGTCTAAACCAGGACTGAACCAGGTCTAAACCAGGTCTAAACCAGTACTGAACCAGGACTGAACCAGGTCTAAACCAGGTCTAAACCAGTACTGAACCAGGACTAAACCAGGGTCTGAACCAGGACTAAACCAGGGACTGAACCAGGACTAAACCAGGGACTGAACCAGGACTAAACCAGGTCTAATCTAGGTCTAAACCAGGACTGAACCAGGACTGAACCAGGCCTAAACCAGGTCTAAACCAGGACTGAACCGGGACTAAACCAGGTCTAAACCAGGACTAAACCACTCTGGACTGGAACTGGACCAGTACTGAACCAGGCCTAAACCAGGACTGAACCAGGACTGAACCAGGGACTGAACCAGGACTGAACCAGGACTAAACCAGGTCTAATCTAGGTCTAAACCAGGACTGAACCAGGTCTAAATCAGGACTAAAGCAGGACTAAAGCAGGCCTAAACCAGGTCTAATCTAGGTCTAAACCAGGACTGAACCAGGTCTGAACCAGGTCTAAACCAGGTCTAAACCAGGACTGAACCAGGACTGAACCAGGTCTAAACCAGGACTAAACAAGGGCTAAACCAGGACTGACCCAGGACTAAACCAGGAATGAACCAGGACTAAACCAGGGACTGAACCAGGACTAAACCAGGGACTGAACCAGGACTGAACCAGGTCTAAAGCAGGACTAAAGCAGGCCTAAACCAGGTCTAATCTAGGTCTAAACCAGGACTGAACCAGGACTGAACCAGGCCTAAACCAGGTCTAAACCAGGACTGAACCGGGACTAAACCAGGTCTAAACCATGACTAAACCACTCTGGACTGGAACTGGACCAGTACTGAACCAGGCCTAAACCAGGACTGAACCAGGACTGAACCAGGACTGAACCGGGACTAAACCAGGGACTGAACCAGGACTGAACCAGGACTGAACCAAGACTGAACCAGGACTAAACCAGTTTAATGAAGCTCAGGCATCATCATAGAACATTATTGGTTCTGTGGTCTATAAAGAAAAAGAAAAAATTCAATAAGTCGTTGTACTACACAGTGATAAAGTAAAGAGTGCACTGCTAAACATACAATAACAAACATAAATAGTGGAGAGACGAAATAAGAAGCGCAGAATAAAGACATAATACAACTATAATGAACAAACACGGCACGACACACGAAAAATAGCTCCCTGTTAAACTGAACTACACAAGTATGACAGGAACATGAACAACACGTCCTGACATGAGTAAAACAATAGGCGAGCTTCATTGTTGACAAAAGCGCGCGTTGCATGCTGGGAATTATTTTGGTCGGTGGCAAGAAACACTAATTCAACATGACGGACGGAGCGAGAAAGCACGTAAAGGGTATTGATCCCGGTTATTTATCCACTCTAACGGCAGAGGACCCAAGACCATTTGACCAGAAATTGGTCATAAGCATCGACGGACGACAAATCACCCTTTTCAACCCCGACAAAAGGTGAAACAAACCAAATTTCTGGTCTGAATCGCCAACTACCTGGACAAATATTCACAATGACTTGGTGGAAACTCCTGGGCCATTCACAGCAGAAAAGATGAAAACCTCCAAGAGTCTCGATGTGTTGTTGAACTTGTTGGAGTCCACGGTTTTGTTAGGATCTTCTACGTTTGCTCTGCGGATGTTTGAAAGCCGTTTAATTCACCGTTAGCGGTTCTTTTCACTCAGAATACGAAAAAGACATTTTCCTTCTTCCGTGCTTCTATTTGTGCATCCGATAATGCAGCAGGAATTTACCATTATCGGGGATAAATACGCGAGGTTACGCACTGTGTTTGACGCTACCGTGTTTCTTGCCTCCGACCAAAATATTTCCCAGCAGCAACGCGGGCTTTTAATAACAATGACGTCAGCTGAAACTCACCTATAACAAAGGACTTATGCAATAGCCCGGATAGCAACCTTAGCGGTAGAAGAGGAGTTGAACAGGTTTGTAGTGCAGATCCCAAGTGCATTTGCTGTAATCCATAACCAAGACAAAAAAATATATAGAAAAAATATTTACAAAAGTAGAAAAGTTGAAAACACAGGGATGACAGTAACCTGCGCTCACACAGCACCTTCCTCTAGACCACGAGTGTCAGACTCATTTTGTTCCGGGGGCCGTATCCAAACGACTTTAATCCCAAAGTGTCCGGATCAGAAAACTCATGTCATATAAACCCCAAAAATAACAATAAGTTCAAATATTTGTGCAGAGAAAACACAAATCTATTACAGAAATCTTTTTTAATTGATGAACTCTTTCTTTTACAAAATATTATAATATTATGAACAACCTGAAACTTAAGAAAAATTCAATTTCAACACAAATGTTTTAACATGAACTTGTATGTAAACAGGAATAAGTCCATTTTTGTTGTAAAATCCTGCACTCGGCTCCACTTTTCTCATGTTGGACATTTTTCTGATGAGGGTGTCACGGTCAACAGTCAAAACGATCGTCCTTTAAGAGCGTTTGGAAAGAGACAAGTCTTCATTTGTGCTGCTCTGGTGGGAGGGGCCACGTACAGAGACGCTGGAGACGCTGCTGTGATAAACACCACAGAAAATTAACAATATTTTAATAGAAAATGCAATTAAAATATTTTAGTAGAAAATCATCTGAGATTAAAGGTCTTGGAGGGCCGTATGTTTGACACCCCTGCACTCGACAAAGGTGAGGCTGACTCCTTTTATGGGCCTCCTCCTCTAACTGGGTGAGCTGAGGTACGTTCAAACAATGTACATTCAATATTTAAAAAGTTTGCTATCAAAAAAACAGTGCAACAAATATTCTGTTAAACCCAAATACAAAAATAACTCTCTTTATTAAATCAGAAGTTTATTCATTTAAAAATACTAACTAGACTAGAAAAGTTAAAATCTCTGTGTGTCCCTCCTCCCCAACAAAATGGTTTCCTGCCTTGGAACCTTCTTAAAGGGCCCATCTCATGCAAAAATCAACTTTTCAGAGCTTTCTACCTTCTAAGAGTGATGTGTGGGCCTTGTATTTGTTGCCCAAGTGTTTTTTTTAGATTGATTCAGTGTTTTTTTAAGTAAATTGCAGCGTATTTCTGCCACCCTCCCACATGACAACGAACTAAAACTGCTACAACGATGACGCGGCAGATTCACCTATGACACGTTTGACGTAGAAGAAAGAGCTTCGCACCCACCCCCCACCTGCCCCCCTCCTCCGCTCCACCGCCTCCACCCCACATCGGCTGACAATTCCCACATGAACACTTGAACAAAAGCGACACTGTAAGCTCATTGTTCTACGCTGCAATGAACACGATATAATAAGTTTATCTACTAGTGTTTATTAATACTTTACCAATCAGTAATGTTCAGCTGATGTGGACGCGATGCTTGAGCTTCGTGCTCCTCAAAGTCCTCGTCCGATTCCGGGTCCAACACATGCGGCTGAAAGCGCTGTATCTCCATGATGAATAAAAGATGAGGAGAAAATTCAGTTTGTCGACTGGACAAAAGCTGGTTTAGTTGAAGACGTTTCTCAGCTCATCCAAGCTGCTTCTTCAGTTCTGGTCAGACGCTGGTGGACACTTCCTTCTATCTGTCTGCAGGGAGGAGCTAACTACACTGAAACTACTCTGAAACTAACACACCTACTTGTTTACAGTTTCTGTTTATTAGTTCGGCCTATTGACCTGTACAGGGTGTGGGGTCTAATTAGCAGAACAATTCATGTCCATAATGGAGCTTCCACACCTCTGGACCTGACCTGGCTACACCTGTTGTTCTTTTGTTTGTTTTGATTTAGGTTTGAGGACGGAGTTGTAAATAGGAGATAGATGGTGTCTGAGTTTCCATTTCTGTTTAGAGAAGGATTCTCTTTCTTAATAAAATGGCTTCTTTAACTCCCCTCTCAAACCAATTTTTCTCTCTGGCTAAAATCTGCACCTCTCTGTCCTTTTAAGTGGAGATGTACAGAAGACTGAGGTCCACTGTTGCTCTCTCGTCTATGTTGTTCATCCTCTTGTGAAGTAGCTGTTTAGACAGCATTCTGACCAGAACTGAAGAAGCAGCGTGGATGAGCTGCGAAACGTCTTCAACCAAACTAACTTTTGTCCAGTCGATAAACTGAATTTTCTCCTCATGGATTCTACCTGGACGACTGAGGGATTCTTCACATGATGAATAAAAGTTTATTCCTGCCACTATCAGGGCGCACGCCTGTCTCCCCCTCCCTCCCTGAGACGGCGGAGGAAGGGCGGCTCACTCAGAGTCTACGTCACGTTTGGAGGGCGGAGCCTGTGCTTTCTCAGGACGGGCGGGGGGAGGAGCAATAGTCGGACTTTCATAGTTCCTGGTCTGTGACTGTCTCCAAGAAATCAGTAAGATTTCAGATTGTGTAATGGATGTTCCAAAACCCAAATTGTGCTTGTTTATGTGTGAGGTCAAGTGGTAACGGAGGGAAACAGGGGTCAGATTTTTTTACATTCAAATGTCTCTTATTCAGAAACTAGAGGAACTATTGAAATAAGTAAAGTATCAGAATGTAGGAAAGAGTTACACTCCAACAGGGTCAAGTTAAACCTGTGATATTTTTTCAAGTTGTTGACAAAAAATTTAAAAACTCATGTCGGTAACGGAGGGAATGAAATATGCAGCACTTTTTGGGCAATAAATCCAAACAGTGATAACTCTTGGTTCTCACTTACATATCCTTAACAAACTGGTTTGAATATTTGCTTCATATAGTTTTCTACCATATGGTACAAGATTAGGTTGAAAAACCTCTTACTTTTTGAATAATGAGATTTTTTATTAAGAAAGGTCATGGTAACGGAGGGAAAAGTAACGGAGGGAAAATTGTTCAAGCAAGTAGAAGGTGCAGGATTTTACATCATTTGTCAACTTTTTTCTTCTGAATATTTTAATATTACTTCAAAATGAAAGGAAACTATTTCTATAAAATATGTCAGTCCTTCCAAGCAAATTTTTATCATTTTAAATACTTTTTTTTTTTTTTTAAATCATGTCCCTTCATCAACAGTTCAAAGATGGAATAACACAAGATATGATGAAATACATCCATTTATTTACATGATTTTTGGGTCTTTGAAATTTGGGAAATAATTTTTGTTCCATGTTTCATACATGGTCTGTTTAAAACGGATGGAACTTTAGAACCAAAAATCGTACAGAAAAAGGGTCAACAGTTTCATAAACTAGAGTACATATGTATCTGTTCAATACATTTTTTATATCAGATGCATTAACTTGAATTTTTGGCCCTGTTGTTTACTTCTGCTTGACCGGGCCCATGTGCAGAAGATACAATGTGAAAAGAGTTATTTTGCATGAGATGGGCACTTTAAGGTGCTTCGGCTCCTCTGGGACTCTTTTGGCAGACAGGACAAGAGGGTAAGTACGACTAGTTTTAACAACAAGTACTGAAATTTAAATGCACTTATTTAACTTATTTCATTTTCTTTTACAGGTCTCTTTACCACACAGTAGTAATCGTCCAGCAAACTCTGTTATCGTTTCAGGCCTCGTCAGACTAACGTTCCGGTGACTGTGAGACTGTCCGGTCATGTTTTGCAGGTCGGGGTCCTGATCTTCGCCTCCATCGTGGGGAACGTGGGCTCGATGATCTCGAACATGAACGCCACCAAGGCCTCGTTCCAGAGCCGAGTGGACGCTCTCAAGCACTACATGCACTTCAGGCACGTGAGCAGAGGCCTGGAGCAGCGCGTGATTCGCTGGTTCGACTACCTCTGGACCAATCAGAAGACGATAGACGAACAGGAAGTGCTCCGGAGCCTGCCCTGTAAACTCAGAGCGGAGATCGCCATCAACGTGCACCTGGACACGCTCAAGAAGGTCACAGGGTTTATTACACGGAGTTACACCGAATTACTCATGTTTCACTGTTGTTAATTTATATAAAAGTGGAATTATATACTTTTTATCTATAATTTTTTCTTTTTTTGTTTTGTTTTGTATGTTGTGGACATGTTCAAGAAGTGTTTTACATAGATTTACTTCTGCTTCTTTAGTTTAGTCCTGTTTCAGTCCTGGTTTAATCCTGGTTTAGACCTGGTTTAGTCCTGGTATAGTTCTGGTTTAGTCCTGGTTTAGACCCTGTTTAGTCCTGGTTTAGTCCTGGTTTAGTCCTGGTTAAGTCCTGGTATAGTCCTACTTTAGACCTAGTTGAGTCCTGGTTTAGTCCTGGTTTAGTCCTGGTTTAGTCCTGGTTTAGTCCTGGTCTAGTCCTGGTTTATCCCTTGTTTAGTCCTGGTTTAGTCCTGGTTCAGTCCTGGTATAGCCCTGGTTTAGTCCTGGTATAGTCCTGGTTTAGACCCTGTTTAGTCCTGGTATAGTCCTGGTTTAGTCCTGGTTTAGCCCTGTTTAGTCCTGGTATAGTCCTGGTTTACCCTGTTTAGTCCTGGTTAGTCCTGGTTAGTCCTGGTATAGCCCTGGTTTAGTCCTGGTTTAGCCCTGTTTAGTCCTGGTTTAGTCCTGGTTAGTCCTGGTATAGCCCTGGTTAGTCCTGGTTAGTCCTGGTTTAGTCCTGGTTTAGTCCTGGTTTAGTCCTGGTTTAGTCCTGGTTTAGTCCTGGTTTATCCCTGGTTTAGTCCTGGTTTAGTCCTGGTTTAGTCCTGGTTCAGTCCATTTGATTTAACTTTCTGAATGAAGTTGTTCATGAAAAGTTTGCGTCCTTTTGCAGGTTCGTATCTTCCAGGACTGTGAGTCTGGTCTCTTGGTGGAGTTGGTGCTAAAACTTCGACCTCAGGTGTTCAGTCCTGGAGATTACATCTGCAGAAAGGTGAGTGGAGTTTGCATGTTCTCCCTTTGTCTGGGTGGGTTTCCTCCTGGTTTCCCCCATCAACCCCAAACATGCACAGTATTCAGTGATCCTACAGCGAGGTACTCCTGATCAAAACTGTGAATTAACAGTTTTGTTTTTATGATCCATGTTATAATGTTGTTTCCTCATCAAAAACAAACTTGGACTTGTCCCATCCATCCATTTTCTTCTGCTTATCCGGGGCCGGGTCGCAGGGGCAGCAGTCTAAGCAGGGACTCCCAGACACGTCCTCTAGCTCCTCTGCGGGACCCTGAGGTGTTCCCAGGCCAGCCCAGAGAAATAGTCCCTCCAGCGTGTCCTGGGTCTTCCCCGGGGCCTCCTCCCAGTGGGACATGCCGGAACACCTCCCGAGGGCATGTCCCAGGAGGCATCAGAACAGACGCCCGAGCCTCAGCTGCTCCTCTCGACATGGAGGAGCAGCGGCTCTACTCCGAGCTCGTGTGACTGAGCTCCTCACTCTATCTCTAAGGGAGCGCCCAGACACCCTGCGGAGGAAACTCATTTCGGCTGCTTGTATCTGCGATCTCGTCCTTTCGGTCACTACCCAGAGCTCATGACCAGAGGTGAGGGGAGGAACGAAGACTGACAGCTTCTCTTCACCACAACTGTCCGATACAGCGACCACATCACTGCAGACTCTGCACCGATCCACCTGTCAATCTCACGCTCCATCGTCCCCTGACTTATGAACAAGACCCCGAGATACTTGAACTCCTCCACATGAGGCAGGGACTCTCCACCCACCCGGAGACGACAAGACGCCTTTTTCCGGTCGAGAACCGCGACCTCAGACTTGGAGGAGCTGATCCTCATCCCAGCCGCTTCACACTCAAACCTGGAGTTGTGTTTTGTTTCATTCACACACGTTTAACATGAGTTCTTCTCCCAAACAAAACACCACTTTGATCCACCTTGTGATCTCATGTGGTAATAGAGGAAGTGCTCCACTGTGTTTTTAAAATCCACACACCTCATACCAACACAGACCAGAAGCATTTGGATCATTACAGTCCTGTGAAAGGTGTTCACTTGAAAACTACCACTTCACGACATCAGAGGGTGCAACCGAGCATTTTGAGCTTGGGAGGTGTAGACTGGTCTCAGGTAGGGATGGTCATGATTAGTCGATTAATCAATGAGTGCGTATACATGCACATCAATAACCCGGTTATTAGCCATATCCCGGTTCTGTCAGTATTCGGGTTACTGCGTTTACATGCGCACTGAGAAACCGGGACACTCATATCCGCGTATACATGATCAAATGGAGTATCCCGGTTTCTTGACATAATCTTACAAATGCGCAGGCGCAAAAATTAACTTAAATCGATTTAATAAACCAGGAAAAATACAAACCGTGAGCTCCTTTAGCATAAGAAGCTAAGGAGCTACGAGATCTCCCACAATCCACTGTGCAGATTCTTCATTAAAATCTTCTGCATAAATAAACTCAACTTTACAACATATAAACCATAAACACTATAGACACATCAGCCCGTTTGATCAGATAATTCAGCTGTGATCACATTTGTTTACGTTTTACAGAAACGAAACTTAAGACCGTTTGGCTAATTAGCATAAACTGTTAGCGGCGATAAAAACAACTCGCTCCTTGCGCCGCTGATGTGATCAGTTTCTTTTGGACTAAATGACACGACTCTGTGGATTATGTGTGTTATTTCTGTGACAGAAGAGGCGCTAATGATGGTAAGTGTGTTCCGTGCGTATAGAGTATAGGAGATAGTTCATGTTTTAGCTTTTCAGCGTCACACGAGTGCAGGTCGTACGAGTGCAGATTGTACATGTGCAGGTTTAGCGCAGCTCTTTATTTTACAGTCATTTCACTCGTTTGGTCACTTTATTTATGTTGGTCAATTTATTTATGTCACTACTGTTGTGGTGAAAGGCTGGAAAGTGTCTTTTGGACGCATGCGCACTCAACTTTATGTTGCAGTAACCGGGTTACTGCGTTTACATGCACCATCAAGAAACCGGGATACTCAAAAAACCCGATCATAACCGGGTTATTGATGTGCATGTATACGCACTCAATAATTGATCATTAAGAATTTCGTTGATTACGTTCATTTTTAATCGACAAACTGAATGTAGGTTGCGTGCGTAGCGTAGCGTGACCAAATGTCCATTTTTCTCCGGACATGTCCGTTTTCCACATCTTGTCCTCGCCGTCCAGTTTTTTTTTTTTTATAAAGTGATGCAAATGATCAGGTTTTCATTATCTTTCATTGGGCCATTAAACTGAGTGTCTCTTGTAGATCTCTGTGAGTCAGAAGGAGCGAGCAGACACAGACAGTCGGTCAGTCTGCAACACGCCGAAGCACAAATGTGCATTTAACAATGACTGTTGTTACGACCCAGCTCTGCTAGGGACGGGGAAGTAACAAAATAACCAAGATTGAAAAATGGTAAAACTAAAGTTGTGATTTATTTAACAGAATTGTAAGGTAAACCAAACAAAACAATGATTCTTACAAGAATTAACAAAAAGAGGCTCTAAACAGAGTGGCTAACAATATAAGGAAAGATAAGCAAACCAAAACGGGGTACACTAAATGAAACAGAAAAACAAAAAAACAGTCTTAAGTCACCAGGACTCTAGTATCTCAACAAACACAGCACGAGAGACACAAAGATGGCAAGCAAGTCCACAAACAGAACAGCTGCCCAGAGTGGCAGGGGGCGGGTCCTTTTATAGGGCCGGAGCTCCAGGTGTAGGCCTGGGATTGGCCAGGTGTTCCAGGTTTCCACCATTCAGCGGGAGGGGCTCCAGATGCCATCTTAAATCGATTCCTCCAATCACAGCATCACAGCGGGGGTCTGCATATGGAGGATTGCAAAACACACACACACACACACACACGGATCTAGGCAAATATGGCCAGGAGGATCTGGAGGCCTGTGGCCGTAACACTCCCCCCCTTAAGTTACAAACCCAGTTTGTAATAAAAAAAAAACAAAGCCATACTTACTTCTAGCAAAATCATTGCACTTACCAACCTTATACAAATATTTAGCGAATAGCATCATCAGCTTTCTTACAAAAATGCACAAAACTAATTTCATTTACCTAATTTTATCTAAACTAAAGAGTCTGGAGTGTGGTTAACACACATTTTAACCAGGCGCTACAAATCTACAAACCTCATGAATTTTAGAGCCACGTTTTGAACAGTGGCTAAACCAGGAGGGAGTTCCTCTGAGCTGCCTACAGCTTTTGTTATGAGGGAGGGACACAATCAGGTAACAGGAATCAAGGTTGCAACTACATTCTGAAATTTGGTGGTCAACTCCCAGGCACAGTCCATCTCTACAGTATGAAAAGGTTCTACCATAATCAGGGCTCTCAAGACGGGCTTGGAACCTTGCCCCAGCAGGCTTGGAAACCACCGGTTTATCTGAAATATTGGACAACAAAACAGAATCAGAAGGGTGCAGATCAGATCCTCTGCCAGAAGGTTGTCCCACTAAACCACCCAAAACCAAAGACTCAGAATCTGAGTCAAGCTTTTGGCTAGTGTCAGTGGCTAAAGTGGTTGAACCAGATTGACTTAAACTGACACTTTGTTTGGGTGCAGTGCGTTCTGCTTTTCGCTTCAGGGCTGGGCAGTTGGCAATGAGATGTCCAGATTTATGGCAATAGAAACATTTTGTCTGATATCTTGGTCGTTTTACATTTAATGATGCAGATGACACAGGAAAATGTGAGGAACATTTAGGCGGAAACACAGGGAAGTTGCTTTTGTGAATCAACATAAACTCATCTGCTAACACAGCAGCTTCAGAAAGGGTTTGGACCCTTTTCTCATTCAAATACAAAACAAGAGGATTAGGCAAACACTGCTTAAAGTCCTCCAACAAAATAAGCTCACGGAGTGCACTGAAATCAGAAACCTTAGAGGAAGTGCACCATTTATCAAAGAGACTCCCCTTCTCTCTAGCAAAGTGGGAGTAGGTATGACTCGGGACTTTGGGGTGCTGTCTGAATTTTTGCCGGTATGCCTCAGGTACCAACTGGTAGACACTCAAAATGGCAGCTTTCACAGTGTCGTAACACAAACTTTTCTCAACTGGTAAACTAGCAACAGCTTCTTGAGCTTTACCAGGGAGTTTACATAATAACAAAATTGGCCAAACATCGCGGGGCCATTTTAAGGCTGTTGCGATGCGTTCAAAGACTGTAAGATAAGAGTCTACATCACATTCCCCAAATGTGGGAACAAGTGAAATGTTTGTACTTACGTCAAAAGGTGCAGTGGACTGGAAGGTGGAAGGCAGGTCAGTGGCAGTAGTAGAACCAGAGCTGGTTAACAGATGGGCCTGAGACTCAAACTCAAGCTGTTTGAGCTTAATAGCTGTCTCAGCCTCAATCTCGAGCTTTCGGATTCGAAGTTCAAGCTGAGCCTTGCGTGCCCTCTCCTTGGCCTCAGTCTCCATTTTGAGACGAGCCAGGCGCACTTTGAGCCGAGCTCCGTCCCTGGGAGAACAGGAAGACGAGAGGGGCTGGCGCAGAGGAAAACTGTCTGGAGTGTTAGGCCGCACAGCAACCTCCACAGCACCCACAGGAGTGACAAGCTCAGAATCCACACACACATTAGGCAATTCAGAACCAAACACAGGCGAGACACAGAAATTACGTTCCACCAACCTGTCCACCATCACCGACGCCATTGTAGAACTAATCTAAATCAAAAGACTTACCTAAAACAATCCAATTAAACAACCTGTACAACTTCAGTATTCCAGGAAGGGTTGGAAGTCTCCCGGACGAGCCCCCAATTTGTTACGACCCAGCTCTGCTAGGGACAGGGGGAAGTAACAAAATAACCAAGATTGAAAAATGGTAAAACTAAAGTTGTGATTTATTTAACAGAATTGTAAGGTAAACCAAACAAAACAATGATTCTTACAAGAATTAACAAAAAGAGGCTCTAAACAGAGTGGCTAACAATATAAGGAAAGATAAGCAAACCAAAACGGGGTACACTAAATGAAACAGAAAAACAAAAAAACAGTCTAAGTCACCAGGACTCTAGTATCTCAACAAACACAGCACGAGAGACACAAAGATGGCAAGCAAGTCCACAAACAGAACAGCTGCCCAGAGTGGCAGGGGCGGGTCCTTTTATAGGGCCGGAGCTCAGGTGTAGGCCTGGGATTCTCCAGGTTTCCACCATTCAGCGGGAGGGGCTCCAGATGCATCTTAAATCGATTCCTCCAATCACAGCATCACATGCATTGCATTTACAGGAGGAATGACTTGTACAAGAAATTCCACACTTTCCGTCCTAGTCGAGACAAATGTGAGTCCATGTGCACAGTGTTCAAAGCAGCACATATGTTTCTGTGTCCAGTGGCGTGTCAGGGACCTCAAAGCACCAAAACACTGAAAAACATGAAAAAGTTTTACCAGGTGAGAGTCGCTCAATGTCGATGACGAATCCCCACCTCCCTCCCCCCGTACGGTGTCCTGGTTTTAACAAACGCAAATCTGGTCACACTAACCTGTATTCACCTGAGTCATGTCTTTTAATCAGACAGAAATTGAACAGCATCAGCGACACAAGAGCTGTTTTTTTCTTCACTTATGTTATGCAAATTAGCGATGCGGTTTTAACTTTTGTTTCTGTGAGAGTTGAACAAAACTGAATTAAACACATTATAATGTCAAACGGGCTGATGTGGCTCTAGAGTCGTTACGGTTTATATGCCGTAAAGTTGAATTTATTTATGCAGATTAGTAGTGCAGATAGTAATAATAATGATGATCATTTTAATATAAAAACATTAATGATTAATCGATAATCGATCGTTAATTCTCCCGACGATCGATTAATGAAATTTCATCGATTGCCCATCCCTAGTCTCAGGTCTCTGCACTGCCCCCTGTGGCTCGGAGACTTTAAAGCGGCTCTGCTTGTTCAAGTCTCTCCATGACCCAACACCAAAGTCCACCTGTGACATGTTAGAGCCACATGAACCATCTCGCACTCTGAGGAGCTCAAGGACCGGCCTCCTGCTGTAGTCCTGGTTTAGTTCTAGTTTAGACCTGACCTCCTGCTGGTGCCCAGAGTCAGGAAGCAGTCTTCCTGAACATGTGAGACCGGCCTCGACTTTGACTCCGTTTAAATCCAGACTCCAAACACTTCTGTTCAGCTGCGTCTGACTGAAAGGTTTTCACTCCACACTCTTCTCTCTCATTTAATGTCGCTCTCTTTTTAAAATTTTATGATGATTATTTATGATTTGATTTGTTTTTATTGTGATTTTAATGTTTTTGTTATTCTGTAAAGCACTTTGAATTACTTTGTGCTTTACAAATAAACTTGTCTTGCCTGGACGGATTAAAAACACAAGATTACTAAAACATGGGAATAAATTAAAATATCTGTAAATCTGTGTCGCCGTTACCAGGGAGACGTGGGGAAGGAGATGTACATAATCAAAGACGGCCGCCTGGCTGTTGTTGGGGACGACGGCGTGTCTCAGTTCGCCGTTCTGACCGCGGGCAGCTGCTTCGGCGAGATCAGCATCTTGAACATCAGCGGGAGCAAGACGGGAAACCGCCGCACCGCCAACATCCGCAGCCTGGGCTACTCCGACCTGTTCTGCCTGTCCAAAAACGACCTGATGGGGGCGCTGCAGGACTTCCCCGAGGCCAGAGCGCAGCTGGAGCAGAGGGGGCGGGACATCCTGAAGAAGGAGGGGCTTCTGGAGGAAGTGAGCGTCTCCGCGGGGGAGGAGCTAGAGGAGAAGGTGGAGAGGATGGAGGCGGGACTGGACCGGATACAGGTGAGAGCATTAGACCCGGTTTAGACCCGGTTTAGACCCGGTTTAGACCCGGTTTAGACCTGGTTTAGACCTGATATAGACCTAGTTTAGACCTGGTCTAGTCATGGTTCAGTCCTTGTCTAGTCATGGTCTAGTCCTGGTTCAGTCCTGGTTTAGTCCTGGTTCAGTCCTGGTCTAGTCCTGGTTTAAGTCCTGGTTCAGTCCTGGTTTAGTCATGGTTCAGTCCTTGTCTAGTCCTGGTTCTAGTCCTGGTTCAGTCCTGGTTTAGTCATGTTTTAGTCCTGCTCTAGTCCTGCTCTAGTCCTGGTCTAGTTATAGTCCTGGTTCAGTCCTGGTTTAGTCCTGGTGTAGTCCTGCTCTAGTCCTGGTCTAGTCTGTCTGGTTCTAGTCCTGGTCTAGTCCTGGTCTAGTTCTTGTTTAGTCCTGGTTCAGTCTAGTCCTGGTTCAATCCTGGTTTAGTCCTAGTTCAGTCCTGGTTTAGTCGTGTGTTTTAGTCCTGGTTTAGTCCTGGTTTTAGTCCTGGTTTTAGTCCTGGTTTAGTCCTGGTTCTAGTCCTGGTTCTAGTCATGGTTCTAGTCTGGTTTAGTCTGGTTCTAGTCCTGGTTCAGTCCTGGTTCAGTCCTGGTTTAGTCCTGTGTTCAGTCCTGGTTTAGTCCTAGTCCTGGTTGGTTGTCTAGTTCTAGTCCTGGTCTAGTCCTGGTCTAGTCCTGCTCTAGTCCTGGTCTAGTCCTGGTCTAATGCTGGTTCAGTCCTGGTCTAGTCCTGGTCTAGTCCTGGTTTAGTTGTTTAGTCCTGGTTCAGTCCTAGTTCAGTCCTGGTTTAGTCGTGTAGTTTAGTCTAGTCCTGGTTTAGTCCTGGTAGTCTAGTCCTGGTCTAGTCCGTTGTTTTAGTCCTGGTTAGTCCTGGTCTAGTCCTGGTCTAGTCCTGGTCTAGTCCTGGTCTAGTCCTGGTTTAGTCCTTGTCTAGTTCTAGTCCTGTTTGTATTTTCAGACCCTGTTTGGCGCGTCTTCAGAGTGAGTTTGCCTCGTCTCAGATGCGTCTGAAGCAGCGGCTCACGGCTCTGGAGGCCGGACTGACCGCGGCAGCGACCGGCAGTGACCTCTCCGACCCCGAGGGCAGCGACACCAACATGCAGCTGTGAACCGCTCCTGATGCCCTCCCTCCCCGTGCGCCAGATGCCCTCCCGTCCTCCTCCACTGCAAATTTCTCTGATCTGACCAAGATTTTAAAAACCTTTATTTGGTTTTTCACCTTGTTTCCAGATTTATCCTCTTCTTACTCGTTCTGAGGTCGTTTACGTTCAGATAACTTGTCAAGTAAAATGATCTTGCTGCATGGACAGATCATTTCACTACTTTAAAGTCATTTAAAGTGTTTTTTATTTATTTTTATGTGTTTTTATTGATTTATTTTATTTATTGGTTTATTTATTTCTATTCTATGATTTTATTTTTTATTTTTTATTAAAACTAGTATTATTTTAGTAGTTTATTTTATCATCTTATTGTTATTTTTATGTATTTGTGCAGCACTTTGGAAACTGTTTGTTTGTGAAATGTGCTATAGAAATAAAGTGGATTGGATTGGATTTTCTGATAGATTTAAGTGTTTATATTTTATATTTTGGCCAAGCTTTTGTTCAGTGTGTGTACCTGTGAGTGCGTATACATGCACATCAGTATCCCGGTTATGATCGGGTTTTTTCAGTATCCCGGTTTCTTCATGGTGCATGTAAATGCAGTAACCCGGTTTCAATATCCCGGTTATTAGGAACCAGGATACTGAAGCTGGTTTATTCTGATAGTAACCGGGATACTGTGGCATGTAAACGCAGTATCCCGTTACTGCGACATAAAGTTGAGTGCGCATGTGTCCAAAAGGCAAACACTTTCCAGTCTTTTCACCACAACACTCGGCTTCCGTACAATTCTGTTTGCAGTCACAGACTACAGCACAAAACACACATTTCACACTAGGGGTGTAATGGTACAAAAATCACGGTTCTGTACAAAACCATTTGCTTGTTGCATTGCTCGATGACCGCACACATAATGTCCACACTGTCACCAGCCTGTCACCTTTGTTCGTATTTGTATGTAATCTTCCATTGTAATGTTTGTCTTGTATCTTGTATGTTATTTAGTTCCTATTTTTTGTAATATAAGTACTTTGCAAATAAAATTATAAAAAAAAAAAAAAAAAAAAAATAAACAGAATGTTCCACAGTATGACTTTATACACAGGACGAGTTAAAGTCTGGTGGCTCAAAACTTTCTGTAAAGGTCAGGTTAGCTCTTATGTACATTCACGTACAGTCCGTGGCATTTCATAGTAAGGTTGCGCTTTTATTTTGGTGACTTCCTGTGTGAGCGGAAGTGAAGTTAAAAACGTTAGCTTTGTATACAGAAAAGACGCAAAGTAAACAAAGCAACAAACACAACGGTGAAAAGTCAGATAAAAACCTAAAGACGGCAACAGTCGACAGGGGAACAAGGTTTGTTTCATTTGTGAAATTAATTAATTTGTGAAATGATGTTAGCAGGGTCCTTTACACAGCGTTGTCGTGAGCGTTAAAACACAGTACACTTCGTATTCTCTTTTTGTGTGGTTACCGCATTTCCCCACGGGCGCACACTTTTATTCACAGGTGCAGGCCATTCATAATTTTGTGCCTCACGTGATCAAATGTTCTTACACGCCATTGGTCAAATCATAAGTCTCTATCATAATACAAATAATAAAATGAGGGCACAACACAACAGAATGTATATTTGAGCTTCTTGTAATTTGTATTGAATTAATTAATGAATTAAAATATGGATAACGGTTAAACTGTGTAATGAGCAGCGATACGGTGATCTTATGGTAATTTCTGTCATTTTGTTCTTGTTTAGCTCTTACGTTGGTTCTATGACACTGCAAGGAAAAGATTAAAAGTCATTTAAGAATCAGTTCTGGCCTTCTCACTTCAACTGGATGCTACACTTTTTTTTAATGATAAAAATAATCAAGTTTCAACATTTGTGGCAAAGTAATAAATGATCCACAGTTAAGAGTCACAACAGGTGAGTACATAGTTATAGTGACTCAAAACTATCCACAGAAGTACTTTTTCAGACTCAAACTTCACGTGATTGAGTATGTTTACTGTACTGTCTAATTCACGGACTGTGGCTCCATCTAGTGGCCAGTTTACAACCATACAACAGTGATACTGCTACGACAGCCTCACTGGGAGTTTGCATAAATACTGAATTAAAAACACGTCAGTGATGAAAATCATACTTGTTTTCTTATTTTACTGAACTCTTCGCGTTTCTCACGATGTTGTTTTGTGTAAGAATCCAAAGAGGTCAGAGCAGAGAGAGTAAATCCACGTCGTGTGCGGGAAAATGCGCCCCCCAGAGGTTGGACATGTAAACAATCCACAGAGGGGAGGGGCTGGTCACGTGACTGAGACGAAACTGAAAGTGTTTGGAGCTGAGACGTAGTGTGAGACGAGGTGAGTCGCACTTTTGGGTTTTAAGTTTATTATGTCTATTATTGATTATTTAAGAGGAAGTGACTTTGAGATTCACTGACATCCACTTGTGTAGAAAACAGCTGTGCTCTTCAAAGAGAGAGTAACTTATATGTGTGGTGTTTTAGACTTTATCAAAGAGTTCGACTGAAGCAGGAAATGAGTTCTACTAATAATCACTAGAACTGGGCCTAAAGTTTCCCCTGAAGTCGTGACCAGTGCGACTGTCACTTCAGTAGAAGTGTTGTTCAAATGACTAAAGTCTTGTTTGAAATGGAGCAGAGTTCAAATGTAAAGAGTGAAACATGTGTGTCTGTGGTTTCTCCTCCAGGCTGAGCGAGCGGGGAAATGGCTTCAGGGAGTGAGCAGATAAAAGGACGTCCCAGGAGAAAAGCAGCTCCAGGGGGCAGCACTGAGGCACAGTGAGTCCACTCATTTGTCTTTCACTGTTTAAAAAAGTGTGTGTGCGCGTGTGTGTGTGTATATATAATTACAATTTTTTTTTCACACAGTCAAGACACGCTGCTGCTGTTTTTCATCTTATTGATCCAATCCAAAGGGCCATGTCACATGTGCCTTTGTCACACTGATCTAAACTGACAGGAACAAAGTCTTGTAAGTAACAACACATGATGTTTTCTGTCACACACAGATCCACAGCCTCAGTGTCCAGTGATGTGTCCATGAAGAGTGACCGGTCTAAAGATCGTCCTCCAAACTTCAGTCGTGAACCTGCTGCTTCAGTTTCACTGTAAGAACAAATGTCACACTGAAGAACATGTCATATAAACA